GTTTAAGATATTCAAGTGGTTTAATTCATTTTGTGACATTTGATTTGATTTTTGTGAAAACATTTGTATTAGTTACTTCTGTGTTGATGGGCTGAATTTTCTGCATTGTTGTATTCGATTATATCGTTAACAAACAAAATTAATCTTGAAAATTTAAAGCCTTTTTGAATCGGTTATTTTTAAAAACAGATTCAAAAGCTAATCTTTTGCATCGGTTTTACTAAAAAACCGATTCAAATGCCCCAATCCAGTAATGGCGCCATATTTGGGTAGGAGCATTTGAATCGGTTATTTGTAATAACCGATTCAAATGATAATCTTTTGAATCGGTTATTACAAATAACCGATTCAAAAGCCCCTACCCAAATATGGCGCCATTTCTGGGTAGGGGCATTTGAATCGGTTTTTTAGTAATAACCGATGCAAAAAGCCAACTTTCAGAACTGGCGGTAATTTTTGTAAAGGGTTTTTGCATCGGTTTTAGCAACCGATGCAAAAAGTATCGGAGTATTTGCATCGCTGGCTTTTGCATCGGTTGGAAACCGATTTAAAAGGGTCCAAATAACCGATTTAAAAAGTCATTTTTGTACTAGTGGCCGTTAACCGTCTCTCTCAACCTATGCATGCTCCCTCCATGTCTCATTGGGTGGCTCTTAAGCGGGTTCTTTGGTATCTCAAGTCTACTCTATTTCATGGCCTTCATCTTTCACGGCATGCACCCGTTCAACTTACTGTCTTTTCCGATGCAGATTGGGGTAATGTCACCGGTGGGGGCCGGTCAACGACGGCCTATGCTCTCTACTTAGGTTCGAATATTATTTCATGGAAGTCAGCCCGTCAGAAAACTATCTCTCGTTCCTCCACTGAAGCAGAATATCGGGCATTAGCACATGCTGTAGCCGAACTATTGTGGGTTCAGAACTTGCTCTTCGAGCTTCGGGTTAAATCTCCTGCTACCCCGCGTGTCTATTGTGATAATCAGAGTGCCTTGTATGTCTGTAAAAATCCTGTATTCCATTCCCGCATGAAGCATCTTGCGTTGGACTATTTTTTTGTTCGTGATCTAGTAGCGTGGGCTAAGTTAACGGTTCACCATGTTTCTTCCACGGAGCAGCCTGCAGATATTCTAACCAAACCGCTACCGCGCCCCTCATTCCAGAAACTCAGGTCCAAGATTGGCGTCTCTGACGGATCGTCCATCTTGCGGGGGCGTATCAAGGATAATTATTAACATATTAATATTATTTACTTAGTCTTTGTATCTATCTTGTACTTGGTTAGTTTCATCTCAAATGTACTCCACACTTAGGTAGCGTACGTTTCTCACCTGCCTAACCTTTTGCTAACTACCTTATGTATATAATGCTCTGATGTGATCAATGGAAATCATCTTCTCCTAAAGTTTTCTACTCCCTCCGTTTTTTAAAACACTTCCTCTTTCATTTTTTTCACTTCCAACAAAACACTTCCACTTTCTATTAAAAAACCACTTTTACCCCTACTTTTTCATACCCTACCTATCACATCATACTTTATCTCTAATAATCTATCTATCACATCTTACTTTTACCTATCACATCAAAGGCAAAATTGGAAGTCAACTACAATTTAATACTTCCTTATTTTTACACAAAGTCAAAATAGGAACACTTTTTCCAAACGGAGGGAATATATAGGGGTGGACACGGTACCGGCACGGTACCGTGACCGGCAACGGTACCGCCGGTACCCGCCACCGTCACCGCCGGACGGTACGTTCCACCGGTTCCGGGAACTGGTACCGGTACCGGAGTGGGCGGTACCGGTTCCGGTACCCATTTTTCGGTACCGGCACCGGCGGTTCCGGTTCCGGTACCGTTATTAATTTTTTTTTATTTTTTATTTTTTTATTTCATTCTTTCCTTTATCAATTTCATTTTTATATTTTTTTACTTCATCCTTTCCTTTAACAATTGCACATTTACAATTTTACACTTTAAAATTTTAATAAAAAAGCAAAAAAAAGAAAATTGTAGGTGGCCGAAACCGGCCGGTCCGGTACCGGAACCGCCGGTCCGGGAACCGGAACCGGTACCGTCCGGTCCGGTACCGGTACCAAGAGGTGGTGGTACCGGAACCGTACCGTGTCCACCCCTAGTAGTGTAGTTAAATATTTGGTAAGTAAGACACTTTTTATGGTAAAATAACGGTTTACAAATTGTTAATAAACAAATGGAGCTTGTGTTTTGTAGTAACCATCAATGTAAAATGGATGTGAAACAAATGTAAAATTAACTCTTAACGATACCTAAAAAGAACCATATTTGTTCAATCAAAGAGAACATGAGAGGTTAGAGTGAAAGCAGTAATTCAACAATTGAATAAACCAAACCATGAGCTCAAAGTAAAAACGCAATTATAAATATAAAATGAATTTCAATTTCATCCATCCAAAAGTTAGAAAATCAAATCTTGAAAAGTACCATTGGGATAGTAGAATCACCAAAACTTCATTTGTTCGAATTCTTCAAATACCTAATTGAAGTGATACTAAATTAAGAAACCTGCATAAATTATCCAGTTACGATGATAATGTTGCTTTCTTTCTTGGAGCAGCTTGGGTGTTTAAAATTACAAAACAAAATTGAAGGCAATTCAGAACACAAACATCAGGAATCAGTTGTAAGCTCTCGACTAAGACACAATTGCAAACTCAAAGAACGAACTCTCTCTGAATTTGGTCTTGAAACGACGGGGCACATAGCAGAGATACATCATGGAAGAGATACGTCATGCTGCCAGTTTTGATTGTATTTCTACGGATACCCTTCTCACTCCAAATGTCTGATCCATATTCATGAATAAATCAATTAAAAATGACTAATTCTCTACTGATTCGAATCTTTCGATTGCGGGCAACATGATAAGCACAGTTTGCACAGGGAGAGCACACCTCACACGTAGGGTGTGAGGCTTGTTTCTCCTCTTTCTGATTATCTTTGTTTCATTTCCATGTGTTTTTCATCATCTCAACAATATATGTATTGGATCTGGCGTTGCACGTGACTAAACAAACATTAACATCATGTAGTAAATGCAATGTACTTTAGTAGCTAGGTAATCAGACTCATGAGTTTGCTTATTTTAATCAAGGTTGTTGCTCTAATATAAAATATGATAGGCTAATTCGTTGGTGAGATGAACGTGGCTAGCATACTGTAGAAGTAATTGCATAAGAGAAAAACACAAAGGATAGAATAACAAAAACAAAGATGAGGCTTAAAAAGCTAGTTGAACAGTCAATAGAGGTCGTGCTGCACTAACTACTCCCAGTTGATGAGCATGCTTGCATATTGTAGATTTTTGGTTGTATTGCAAGAAAGGAATATGCTCACTTGTCCTTTTTTTTTGTTGTGAGAAAATAGATTTTCAAGTAATGAAGGAAAAAAACTTATATATGAGGTGAATATACTAAATATGAGTTGATTACCTAACTTCAGTAGTCAGATCAAAACACCATAGAATAGTGATACCAGACCTCGTAAGCTTTGGGACAAATCCAGAGAAAGTGCTCAATCTTTTCTGCATTCTCACCCCCAATATCATTTGGGAGCAAGTTTGAATGTGGAATCTCTAATATAATGCCTCATCTCCACCGATCAGCGAATCCCTAGCTGTGATTAGTTCCTCTTCCCACTAAAACATAAACAGAATACAAACATAAATCTCACACACACACACACACAAAAGTGCATGTACCTTTTCAGCTTGTTCCAAACCAAATTTGGTTGCTCCGTATTTGAAAGCACGAAAAAATCAAGCTCGTGCGGTGGAGGGAGAAAGATGAACAACCTGAGGAATTAGACAGTCGGCAATTCAATCCCTAGATTCGTTACCTCTGTTAGAAGAATCAAGCAAGCAGGTGTTACGGAGAGGAAGAAGTGTGGTGGAACTCTTGCGCTTGATGGCCGCTGGGAACACTTGTGCCAACCGGTGGAACTCTTGATCGTCGTTGATGGTGGTCGGTGGAACTCTTGATCGCCGTTGATGGTGAATCCAAAGAGGCAAAATGGATGGGAAACAGAAGGGACGGGCAGTCAATAACAATCACCAGGACTCCATAAAAAAATATTGGATTATTTTTTGACACTTATGGAGTATTTGTTTTATTTGATGAGTATACAAAAAATTTTCCAACCAAAACACTTGTTCCAAAATTGTAAAGAAATGACCCAAACCTGGTAGTTCGATCATCAGACTTGTTATCCTTCATAATCTTTATAAATAAAATGACTGTAGACCTGAAGCAACATCTAATGGAAAACCATGGAAACGGAAAGCAAAAATTGGTAGCCAGGTGATTATTTCGTCTAACTGAAAAGGTCACAGAATCTTATATAGCTCTCCAGGTGGAAACAGAAACTGAATCTAGACGGGCAATTTTTCACCAAAAAAGCAAATAAATACAGAGTTAAAAAATTACCTTTTATTTGTAAGGTTTGACGATTTTTTTCAAAGCTCACAAATTGAGATTCACAACTCTTCAATTAATCAATCAAACAATCTTTTAAACTTCAACCTACAAATTTAGCATACGGATGTCACTTCTAAAATAAAAAAGATAAATACCAAGAGAGTTTAAAATTGAACCAAATGGTTGATGGTCAACATTTTGCTGGTTTTCTAATAAAGAGCTTATTTAACAACACACATACACTTAAAAATCAAATATGTATGTTAAATAAACAAACCAAAAAAAATTTGTAAAGAAATAGACCTGCTTTGAAATGCAGAAAAGATACATTCGAACCTTATAGGAATAAGGGGAACTACTAGAGTTAATGGACGTTTGTAGTACATACTAATTGAACCTTAGGAAACCGTGTTGATTAAATACCAGCACAATAACTGTTGATTTACATTAATTGGTTCGTATATGTTTGTTAGTTCATAAATTTTGTTTATGCGTAAGTTAAACGCTCCAGACCGTTCGTTAGCACCTCTCGAACTCAAAGGTATCGGTTGATAGTTTTGTAATTTATCATTGAAAAATCCCTATATTATACAGACTCTGGCAGGGACACAGTAGCCAAAAGCTTATACACCACACTGAGTACATGGTAGGGGTTTTTAAAAAGAAAATGAACTTTTTTTGGAAGAAAGATTGTAATAAATAGGAAAGGACCCAAGCAAAGTCATAAAATGTAAAAATAAAGAACACTGAAAATACCAATACGTCAATCTTAATCTTAGTCCAAAACTGCCAACAAAGGAACCAAAACAATGTGCAACCAGAATTCTAAGCACGGCCATCGTTTGCAGAGTACCCCTAAAAAGTTTAAAATAATTCATGGAAGTAGTTCATGGAATGGAAAGAAGTCATTATGAAAAGTAAAAGCATATCCCGTTGCATAGTCCAATTTTCTCAATAAATGTGTCATTTTGTATAAGCAAACAACCTTATTCAGTAGTAATCAATTATTGAATGTCACACCTTTGTCATTGACAAATGTTCCACACTTCCACATTTCCACCAATACAAAGATTAATAAAACAACTTTGTATGAAGGAATATGGAAATTGGAAAGTGCTACACAGGGGAATAAAACATTATAAGAAAATGAAACCCAAACATGAATCATAATAGGGAAAAAATATTAAGTTGATTAAAGCAAGAATGAAGATTGTTATAAATTCTACTAAAAGAAAAGTAAAAAAAATAAAGTACAAAAGGGAAAGACCAAAACAAAGCCCCTTGGAAAGAGAGAGAGTCGGGAAGCAAATTGAAAACCATACAAATGTCGCAGTTAAAAAACTTAAGGTTCTACTCTCTAAATAACATATTAATAAAACATAAACCCAACAATCCTATTTCATAGACATTAGGGAGGCCAAAATGTTTACTCTGTGAAGCTAGTCTAACAATCACCTGTCAAGCTAAAAACCATACTCTAAGGCTAATGAAAGCTTTAAACAGCAAAACGGCTGAAACATAATCTTGCACTTGAGCCAAACTGAAACAAAAAATGGCCAATTTCAATAAGTAAAATGCCTGAAATACAGTGACTACTACAAACCTTGTTTATTGTCAAAGCATTTTATACATGATATGACTATTTTGTTTATTTCAACCCACTGACTTGGCCACATTCTCACAGCATTTTATACATGAGTCTTGAGAGTGCTATTGTAAGACTGTCCAAATTGCAGAGTGTTCAATTTGGTGCTGATGAAGAGCCAAATCAGTGTAGACATAATAGAGGATGAACTGAATTATCTTTGGAGCATTTTATGTGATACAGATTATGAAATTATCTGCTGGGAGCATTATTCTGCATATTTTTTTAGGAGTATTTTGGATATATTTTTCTCCAAAGTTCCAAATTTCATAGTAATTTGTTAAACAAATTACATTTACTCTTTTCTGTACCTTGATGTTACAATTGGTTGGCTCTCTTGGTCTGTCTATATTTTGACTTGAAAGAAATTATTTGATGACAATGCGATAAAAATAGTCTTGGAAGAATGCAATATAAAGAGTCCCCTTCCTTACGGGTAAGAACAAATGAACAACCTCGATTGAGAAGTATGTTGCACGCGGGGAGTAATGTCAAGAATGGTCCCAACTTATTCTTCTCTTGAAATAATACTGTCAAAAATATGTCATTCAAACAAATCACTTATCAGAACATGGGGGTGTGTGTGTGTGTATTTAACATTCAATACTCAGAATGGTTAATTTCAGAGAGAGGATTTTATTCTTAAAAAACAAACTACAGCTCATAGAATTGATTGTTGTGTGTGCCACCAAAGATCAAACAGATCAAGAAAGATGGGATTCAAGTAATTTAACTAAGCTAAACAACAACACTATAATTCTTTTGCAGATTCAACAATTATAAACAAACCAATCAATCTAACAGAAACAAAGACCAAGAAGGCATACACAGTCCTTCAACTCATTCAATCGGACAAGCATTCAATTATAGTAAAATTCAGAAAAGAGTCCAATCCAACGAAATTCACCTTTCACAATCCGTAAGAGTGCATGGACCAAAGATGGTGCGCTCATGATTTTATTAACAAAAACTCATTCCAATCGCAATCAGAGGTTCACACTTGAAACGCAAAACCAAACCACAAAAAAATGGAAGTTAAACTATAGGGCAATATTATGGACAAACAAACAATCAAACAGTTGGTGTGCCATACCTGATAAAAAAGAGGGGGAGGGGGAGGGGGATATGCACGTCCCCGAAATCCCCTCAGTGAGCTCACTGCCATTGCTCCACTAACTTTTAATGAACCACCACATTTAAATCTGTTTCTGTATCTCCCTCTTTAAAGAAGTTGAAGAATTGAGCGCAAAAGATGGAATCTTTGGCTCCATTTCTCCAACTTGGCCCATCCAACTCCACCGCTGCCACCGTCACCGCCGCCGCTGGAGGGTGAGGAGAGCTGTCTAAAGCCTATGAGTTATCGAGGCAAGATAGGGACCCGCTGATCGAAGCCTGATCGCACCACCAACTCAATTTCATCTCTAACATAGAATAAGAAAATTTGGCTGAAAAGCAAGTGAAGGAGAGGGAAGGGCGTTTGGGGATTTGGACTGGAGCAGTGAAAGGGTGGAAACTGGAAACGGAAAAGGCAAGAAACTGAAAAAAAAAAAACTGATCTGTAAATTACAACCTACACACATGGATCCTACGTGTAGTACACTTGGCAGCCCTACAGTTGATGAACTCAACTTTATATATATAATATATATATATATATATATATGTGATATATGATATATGATGATATATGATATGATATATGATATATGATATGATATGATATATGATATGATATATGATATATGATATGATATATGATGATATATGATATGATATGATATACTCCCTCCGTCCCGGAAAAATCTTCCCATTTGGATTTTCCTTCATTTTTTTGAAGAGTTGACTTTGAGTGTAATTTTCTTAAATTACCCTCCTTCTCCTTCTTTACCAGCTCCTGTCCAAGCATTGCCCCCAGCCCCTCCTTTGCCGCCTGTCACACCACATCTCATTTCTCCTCACCATTGCCGCCACTCCACTACCGCCGGCAGCCTCACCATCGGCGGCAGCCCCACGTTCACCTCCAGCCCCACCTACCCCACCACCGTGGTGCAGATCTAAAAGAAGATGAAGAAGAAAAAGACGAAGAAATGTAGATCTAGACTCACATCACCACCGTCGTCACCGCCCTAATCGCCGCTGCCATCACCGCCCCAATCGCCGCCGCTATCACTGTCACAATCGCCGACGCCATGCTCAGATCTAGAAGATGGAAGAGATATAAGAAAGGGGAAAAAAGAAGAAGAAAAACAGAGGGGGGAAGAGAAGAGAATAGAAGATGGACGGGGGAAGAGAAAGAAGAAGAAAAATAGAGGGGGGAAAAGAAGAGAAGAGGAGATGCAGTGAGAAGAGGAAGAGAGAAAGAGAAAGAAGAAGAAGAAGAAAGAAAGAAAAAAAATTGAGAAGAGAGAAAAGGGTGGGGGACGGGGAGGGACGGAGGGTAGATCTAGGGAGGGAGTTTGAGAGATAAGGGTATTTTTGGAAGGATTGTGGGTAAAATTAGAAATGGGAAGATTATTTCCGGACGGGGAAAAAGGAGAAACGGGAAGATTATTTCCGGACGGAGGGAGTATGATATATGATACGATATATGATATCCATAAAAATATTAAGTTATTTTACTCCCAATACACTACCAAACACTACAAGAAAAATGCTCTACAGTGTGAGGACAATCCGTAATTAAAACACAAAAAACCGTCATTAAAACATTTTAATGAGAGGAAATTTACTCTCATGGACCGTCATTATAGCCTCCGTAGCTAATTACAAATAATGACGGGTTACAAGTCCTCTCATTAAAATTATTTAATGAGAGTATTTTTACCTTCATCAAAATGCTCTTTTTATGACAAAAAATCCCGTCATATATATATATATATATATATATATATATATATATATATATATATATATATATATATATATATATATATATATATATATATATATATATATATATATATATATATATATATATATATATATATATATGACGGGATTTTTTGTCATAAAAAGAGCATTTTGATGAAGGTAAAAATACTCTCATTAAATAATTTTAATGA